ATTTTTTTATTTGTTGTAGAGACAAGGTCTCACCATGTTGCCCAGGCTGGTCTCAAACCCATGGGCTCAGGAAATCCTCTCACCTCAGCCTCCCAAAGTGAGCCACCGCACCTGTCTTGTTGCATATCTTACATCCAAACAAGGAATTTTAAGTGTCAAGCATGTCTGAATGTTAGGAATAAAGGCGACTTTCTTTTCTCTTACCTTCCACCCCACCGAGTAACCATGTGTTGCACACTCTACCTTCTGATGCCCCTCTTATATCTCCTCCATCTCTATTTACCGACTCAGTTTTAGCTCTTTCAGAAGTCTTCTACCTCTCTTCCTCCACTCTAGTCTCTCCTCCTCGTCGGTTCCAAAAGATATGTCTAAATTCAAATCCAATTCTCTCTCCCTGCTTGAAAATCCTCTCGTTTTCATCCATATGCGTCTAGCTCCTTGGCATGACTTGCTAAGCCCTCCAGAACCTGGCCCCACCTCCATCTTTAGCCTCATTTCCTACCACTTTGTACACTAGCATCACAGACCAATGCAGTCAGCCCTCCATGTCTGCAGGTTCTGCATCTGTGGGTTCAACCAACCATGGATCAAACATCTTTAAAAATTAAAAAATAACATAACAATGAAAAAATACAAATAAAAACCCATACGATCTGACAACTATTTATATAGCATTTATATTGTATTATGTATTGTAAGAAATGATTTAAAGTATATGGGTAGATAGATGTGCATAGGTTACATGCAAATACTATACCATTTTATATCAGGGACTTGAGCATCCTTGGATTTTATCTGCGGGGGGGGGGACGGTTCTGGAACCAATTCCCTACAGATACTGAGGGATGACTGTATGTAATTCTCCAAGCATAGCATACTGTTTCATAACTCCGTGACATTTCGCATGCTGTCACCTCTGCCTGAGATATTCTCCCTCCCTTATCTATTTGGAAAATTTCCATTCATTCTCAAAACCCAGCTTAGACTCTGCTGCCCATCTCATTGTCCCTCTCCACCCCATCCATAGAATTAAGTATCTCCTACTTTCTGTCACTTGCAAACTTTGTTTCTATTTTTGCACTTATACTATGTCATAAGTATATTTGTTTTTATGTTGCACTTTGATTCATCTTTGAATTCCCATTACTCAGTACAAGTCCTGGAACACAAAAGGTGTTAAATATGCATGTATTTTACAGTGTGTGAATTATAACACATTTATTTCTAGAAACATAAGTTTTATAAATGACAGAAAGTAGTAGATATTTAATTTTATGGATGGGGTGGAGAGGGACAATGAGGTGGGCAGCAGAGTCTAAGATGGGTTTTGAGAGTGAATGGAAATAATCTAGAGAATTCACACACCGTAAAATTCACCCTTTTAAAGGACAATCCAGTTGTTTCAGTGTATTCACAAGGTTGTTCAACCATCACCACTATCTAGTTCCACAACATTTTCATCACCCCTAAAAGAAATCCTGTAACTATTAGCAGTTACTCCCTGTTAGCCACCCTCACCCTGTGGACCCCTGGCCACCACTAATCTACTTTCTGTCTTTATGAATTTGCCTATTCTGGACATTTCATATAAACTGAATCGTACAATATATGGTCTTTATATCTGGCTCCTTTTACTTAGTATAATGTTTTTAAGGTTCACCCACATTGTGGCAGGTATCAGTACTTAATTCCTTTTTATGACTAAATGATATTCCACTCATGGGTATGGATGTGCCACCTTTTGTTTGTCCATTTATCAGATGATGAACATTTAAGTTGTTTCTCTTTTTTGGCTCTTACGAATAGGCTGCTGTGAACATTCATGTGTAAGTTTTGTGTGTCAGTAATTACTTCAGTCAATGAATGAATGAGTGAACCAGTAATGACTCATATTTTATCACATGTCCTTTGGCCAGAATATGAATTATAACCTTCTGTACTGCTTTTGGGCAGGTCTGGGCCGAATCATTCAGGCTGAAGAATATCTACTCCAAGCCCAGTGGACAGTGCTGAAATCAACTGACTGTAGTAATGCCACCCACTCCTTGCTGCATCGGAACCTGGGACTTCTCTATATGGCTAAGAATAACTACGAGGAAGCCCGTTATCATCTGGCTAATGATGTAAACAAGCTAAATTATAACGTCTGGGTATTTTCAAGAACAGATCTGTTTATTTTTTTTAACTGAGCATTTCTCTAAAATTTTATGTTTACAACTGACCATTTGGTGAGATATTAGCAATAACATAATTCTGATGACCTGAGTTCAAGCATTTCCAATTCTTGGCTATGCAAACTTAGCTAGGTTACATATTCCCCAAGACTTAGTTGCTCTAAAGATAGTAAAGGGAGACAGAACAGCATATTGGTTAAAACAAGGATTTTGTTTCTGGTTCCATCTTTGCTATTTCATTAGCTACATAGTCTTGGACAAATTATTTAACCTCTTTCATCACCCGTAAGACAGAAATAATAAAATAGTCTCTGCCTCATTGAGTCATGGCAAAGTTTAACAATAGTACAATTTATGTATACTACTTTGGTTGTTGTTTAAAAAAATAACATTAATGTGTCTAATTCAGAGTGTAGTTATTAAATTTAAATGATCTAGATACAGAAGAAAGCACTTATAGGGCTGGGCACTATGGCTCACACCTGTAATCCTAGCACTTTGGGAGGCTGAGGCAGGAGGATTGCTTGAGCTCAGGAGTTTGAGACCAGTCTAGGTAATGTAGTGAGACAAAAAAATTAGCTGGGCATGGTGGCGCATGGCCATAGTTCCAGCTACTGGGGTGGGCTGAGGCAGGAGGATCTCTTGATCCCAGGAGGCTGAGGTTGTGGTGAGTCATGATAATGCCATTGCACTACAGCCTGGACAACAGAGTGAGACCTTGACCCCCTCCCTCAAATGAAAGCATTTATCAGTTATAAAACTCTATACAAATGCTGCATAGGATGATGAGGTGATAACTGAGTTGCTCTTCCAAAGTTTTTGAGATTTCTATTAGGATTTCAGTGTTGGAAAATTACCAGGGAAGAGTTTATTTTTTCTATTTTTATTTTTATTTTTGAGTTAGAGACACACCCTGTTGCCCAGGCTGGAGTGCAGTGGCACGCTTATGACCACCTCAGTGTCAACCTGCTGGGCTCCAGCAAGCCCTCCACCTCAGCCTTTCAAGTAGCCGGAACTACAGGTGCGCACTACCATGCCTGGCTAATTTTCTATTTAATGTAGAGATGAGGGCTTACCAAGTTGCCCAGGCTGGTCTCAGGCAATCCACTCACCTCAGCCTCCCAAAGTGCTGGGATTACAGGCTGAACCACCAAGCCCAGCCCAGAGAATAACTTCTGAGCGTAAAATCTGGGTTAGGGTAGGTTTAGACTGCTATATCCATGCAGGTTGGTTCTCTTTGTGGCCTTTCCACCAGGCAATCCTGCCTCTGGTTACCTGCCACTGCAATTGTTATTCCCTATACCACCTCCTCCAAATCCGTTCTTGGCCTACTCTGTGTCCTGGGAGGCTGACCTCTATGAATTATTACAGCCTGGATTCCATTGCTCTCTGGCTTTTGTTGGGTTTGGAGAATGGGAGGCATAACAGGGGAACAGAGAGTGAGAGGAGAGAAAAGTTAGGAGTGTTTGTTCTCTTTGCTGCCTTTCTACCTCACCCCTGCTCTGGCAGGTGCAGTGTTCCTCTGCAGCCACAGCTTCTGTCAGGTGACCTTCATCTGAAGCACTAGCCTTTGCTGGACCCTGGTAGCCTTGTTTTCTCCCCTTGCTTTTCCAGGTGTAGAGATGATAATTGTTGCTGTTGGTAGTCTGAGTGTTCCACTAGCCCTTGTTGGTTCCTTAACTCTTTCACCTCTCAGACAATTCTTCCACTAAACTGTCTCCAGGTATTCCTTTTAAGAGTACCATCTATTTCTACCTGAGACCCTGACTAATACAGCCCTTCATTTGTGTTTCCTTCTGTATTCTACATCCTCCAGTACATTAAGCAGAGACACATTCTTGAGCTGGGCCACACAGTAAAGAATTAGATCAAGCTCAGATTCCTTAGCCTGGCTTTACACACACACACACACACACACACACACACACACACACACTTTATTGATACATACCATGAAGTTCACCCATTTAAAGTGCACAAATCAATGGTTTTTTGTAAACTTACAGAGTTGTACAACCAGATGAATCAAGTTTTAGAATATTTCTATTACCCCAAGAAGATCCCTCCCCATATCCATATGGAGTCATCTCCCATTCCCTCCCCAGCCCCAGGCAACCTCTTTCTGTCTCCATAGATTTTCCCTCTCTGGACATTTTATATAAACAGAATCATGTGTGGCCTTTGCATCTGTCCTCTTTCATCAAGCATAATTGTTTTGAGGTTCATCCATGTTTCTGCATGTATCAGTAGTTCATTCCTTTTATTGCTAAACAGTATTCCATCAGATATACCACAGTCTACCCGTTAATCAGTTGATGGGCATTTTGGTTGTTTTCACTTTTTATTTTGAATGATGTTGATATGATGAACATTTGTATACAAGACTTTGAGTGGACACATGCTTTCATTTCTCTTGTGTGGGTACCCAGAAGAGGATTTCTGGGTCATATAGTAACTGTGTTCAATTTTTTGAGGAACTGCCAAACTGTTTCCACAGAGGCTGCACCATTTTCCATTCCCACCAGCAATATGTGGGGATTTCACATTTTCCACACTGTTGCCAACACTTGTTATTTTCTTCCTTATTCTAGCCATTCATCCTAGTGGGTATGAAGTGGTATCTTATTGTGGTTTTATTTTGTATTTTCCTAATGACTAATAATGTTAAGCATCATTTCATGTGCTTATTAGCCATCTGAATATCATTTGGAGAAATGTCTATTCAAATTCTTTGCCATTTTTACACTGGGCTGTTGTAAAAGTTTTTTGTGTATATTCTGGATACAATTCCTTTATCAGATAAATGATTTAAAAGGGAACACAAGCATTCTCTTTTTTCTTTCTGCTATAGATTTATTTTGCCAGCTGTGCATTTGGAACAGAGGACATTAAGACCTCTGGAGGCTACTTCCACCTGGCTAATATATTCCATGACCTTAAAAAGTTGGACCTGGCAGACACATTGTACACCAAGGTGAGCTGGGGAATGTGGGAGCCGAGCCTTGACACTTAAGCTTGGCATCTTACAGCTGGTGTCAGAGCATTCATGAGAAACATACTGTAAAGTAAGGCACAGAGAGATGAAGTGACCTGCCCAAGATTACATAGCCTGATCCATGATGTATTCCATTTTTCTTTCTTCCTATTTCTCCACTACCAAAATAGACTAATTCTTAGCATCTACTGGGTGATTAACAAATAATGAATAATGGGTCAATATGAGCCCCAAACCCTCCAAATAAAGACACTCTGCTGTACCCATACCTTAGCAAGCCAAAGTGGGCAAGTTAAGGTATGTGATACAGAAGGAGAAGTTTTCAAGGGAAATGCATTGCTGCAAGGTCCTGTCAAGAGATCAAAGAACATGAGAGTACTTTAAAATCTCCGTCTTTATGTGTAAAAGATTTTAAACTGTTTCCAATACGTTAAAATGCCGGTTATGTTCATACAGTAACACCTCACTTAGCAAGCAACCATTTCCGTGTGTGATATAGATTCTCACGCTGTAACTATTGATTCCTAGTTTAGACTCACTTTTTGGGAAGAGGCATTTTGCTGTAGCTGAACAGCAATGACCTTTGGAGTCAGACAGACTTGGATTTAAATCCTGGCTATGTCACTTAAAAACTCTTACCAGAAGTCAAGTATCACCTTACTTTTCCTGAGTCTCAGTTTATTTACATATAAAATGGGAAGAACATTACCTCGATTGGGATATTGTGAGGATGTAAAGTTTCAGTGTAGTATGTGCTCCACAAATGATAGCCATTGTTATTGGGCCCCAGCAGGGCTGCCCCCAGATGAGTCTGCCACATGCCCTTTGCAGCTCATCACTTGTCACACTCACTTTGGCCAGGCCCGTTTGGACTCCTAGGCCTCTCTGCCTCAAGACATAGGAAACCTTCAGGTTGTCTGAAACCTGGTCAGACATGCTGCTCCCTACCACTGACTGTTCTGTCGGCTGAGATCTGGCCTGCTTGTGTGATTGCTATCTCTTTTCCCAACAGGTCTCTGAGATTTGGTATAAATATTTGAACGATCACTATCAAGTCCTCTCACAGGCTCGTATCCAACAAATAGATTTACTGGGCAAACGATTTGAAACTGACACTGGCTTGGGTAAGTGGCCATTTTCCTAGGAGGGAAAGCAGTTGTCCCTGTCATAGAGATATCAGTGCCATCTTCCCCATCTTACTGATGGAGAAAACTGGGACGTGGGGACCAAAGAGGTTTTTACCAGTGCTGGGAAGAATTCAGATCTCCATCATCACACACAGCCTTTGGGGCCTAATAAGGGATAGGTTTGGAGGAAAAAAAGACCCCATCAGAGCCCCCTGTGATTGCGGTGGAACATTCATTTCTGATACTATCCTTCCAGGGCACATAAGCGGTGGTTGAAATTACATTGCTGATTTGTTCTGGTGACTTCTCCTCCTCCTTTACTGAGCAGAGAGTTTCTCAGTAGCAGGGACAATTTCTTTTCTTTTCTTTTTTTTTTTTTTTTTTTT